AGTCTTCCGCTCTCCTCGCCCGAGTCTTCCGCTCCCCCCCAGAGAATCTCTGCAGAGCACCTCCGGATGATCCTGGAGCTCCGGATAAAAAATTGGAAGCGCACCACTACTCCAACGAGTGCCCTCGACATCTCGCGGTTTATCCTAGAATGTGCTCCTGTTTACTTATACTTTATGAATGCTGCCTTTTTCGGTTTTGTGCCGGCCCCGTTTTTCTGGCCCTATGCCTCTCCCTGGCTTTCCTTTCTGCTTCTCCACTTCATTCGGTCGCCAGCCCCTTCTCCATATCCTGCAGCGCCTCCCCTCCCAATGCACCTTCATCAACTGGCAAGTTCTCTTCTTGAGTTGCCAAGAATTGCTGCCTGCGATTCGACGGCTTCTTTCTCCACTTTCGAAAGCAAGAAGGTGATGATTGCCATGGGGGCGATTAAAACTCAGGGTAAGTTCACGTCCCCGACTCTTCGCACACGGGCCTGCAGCATGACCTTTCAGAAAAGATCGATTTCCACAAGGGTTTCCCACGGAGACTTCCTGACCTTCTAGGCAGATGTTTGCTGCAAACCGTGTGCAATTGACCACCGGTGAAAGTTTGTGCTGAGATAAGCAGGACCTTTGAACTCCAAGTCCTGGGCTGTTTGGCTAGCCGGCAAAACACTGCACATCCCTTCAACTCGCACGGATACTGAACACCTCTGATGGGGATTTCACCCCTGCTGGTGACAGGGGCTGGACGACTGGCCTCCTGGATGATCAATAGGGCATCAATACCGAGGTTCAGGATTTCGGGACAGTATGCAGAAAGTGGGGATGGCGTGCATCCTGGAGAGGAGGGCTTCAGGTGGGTTCATAGGTTCATGCTTCATAGGAACCCTGTTGTGGTATTGTGACCCCAAAATCGTGTGCAGGGTTGGAGATACTTGTAGGAGCTGTCCCGGCGCGGCAGCTGCCTTTCACATGGCAGGTCGCACGGATAGGTCTCCGAGGTTTCAAACACAGTCGAAACAAGGATTCTTCACGGCTTTGGGCTGCTTCTGACTGGGAACTTAGAGCTGGGCTTTGGACTTCTGGGGTTTCAGGGATGAGCAGGAATTGAGGGCTAACAAGTTAGTTGTCGTTTTGAGGGGTGTTTCTGCGCACTAGTGAACTAGTGTTGTCAATTTGTGAGCCAAACTCAATGATAATGAAAGCCTAAAACGATTAAGAAATCCAACCGTTCAAGCGCCAAACACATGCGCAAGAACCTCGAAATGATCTCATAGATTGTCTTGCGCAATTGCAGAGCATGGATCCGCCCCGCCCAAGGATCCGCCCAGTCGCTCTGAGAGTCCGCGCACGGGAGGGTTTTATTGGTTCACGACACTCGCCCTTCTCTCCCTGTGCTAGGTTTGGCTATGTTTGGCTCCTTTGGCTCATTGCTCCTAGTGTGCGCGAGATGAGCGCAGTCATTGCAGCAGCGCGGAAGGGTAGCCATCCTACAGCCTGGGCCCCAGGCAGGAAGCCGTGGTGCGGCCGATCCAGAAGGGTGCCCGCGGATTGTTCCACCTGTCCAAACATCTGAATGTGGAGGCACCACCACAGTACTTCCCGCGCTGGAAATCAGATCGCGGGGGGCTTCGATGGCCAAAATGATAGCAAACGGCCGCGTCACGTCAATGAGGCCCGACTTCGGGAACTCAGGGAAAGCGAATACGGCCACAACAGGCCAGGAAGGTGGCTGCATGGATGCTGGCTGCGCGATGTTCGTGTCTGGCGTGAGCGCATTCGTGCGCGAGACACGATTCTGATGCGCCACGCATGAATCTGCGTGCATTACAATCGTGATATAGCACGAGCCCAAAGGAAATCTTGCAGGTTGTAGGCCTCTTGGTTGATAGTCCACCACGTTCATACCACAGAGAAGCTGTGTGAAACCGATTTTGCCTTATCGGCTTGAGGGGCCGAGGGGCCCTTCGGACTCGCCCTGTGCAGTCCTAGCGTGACCACCTACTCGGTTCCAAAGTATACTTCGCTACTTGGTTTAGGTCGCGACAGAATCGATAAATCCCCGAGCGCGTGAAACAAACCTCTTTGAAACTAGCTTTGCGTTTCAAAGCGTCGCGGCATCAACCCAGTTTGTCGACATGTCCAAGAACGTATTGCTCCATTGCTGTAGCTCACACGCCCAAAAACGAAGTTGCCCCAGGCAGTTCGTGTGGACGAAGGCCAAGCAAGCATGGTGCTGCGACAAGATACACGTTGGCTCCTTGTTGTCAAGGGAGTCACATGGGGATGGGAGTTCACGAGGGTTCACACTTACGGCGTGTTGGTGCGCAATGTTTCTTGGATGTCTTGGGGGGGGTCTGGCACAGTTCGGGCCTGAGACGGCAGTTGTGTAGCACTCGTAGTCGGAAGTGGTAAACGACTCGATGAGCCCGGCATTCGTGCAACGTACAGAGTAACATCTGCGGTCCGGACCTCTTGGCACCCAAGCCTCGCCGGGTTTCGAAGCTTCGTGTCTGAGATCCTTTGAAATCCTTGAGGCTGTATGTCTACCACCTTGCCACTCCCACACGACTGCCATGCAGGCACAGGGGGGGCAACTGGGCTGTCGGTCCCCGCAACTTGCAACCTGCGTCATTCTGGAGCTCATCCCAAGTAGCCCTCAACCATCCTGTAAACCTTAAACTGCCCAAAGCATAACCCTAAACCCTAAACCCTAAACCCTAAATATGGCAGGTCAGGTCGGCGAGTGGGCTGAAGAGAAGCGGGCGTGGCGCCTTGGCTGAGTTTCTGGGAGCCGTTTGAAACTCGGAGGGCTGAGTGCGCCAGATGTAGCTGAAGTCTGAGCATGGACCAACTCGATGTGAAGTCGTGCCAAGTCCACGAGCCTGCCGATTTGACAATGGACACAGGTCAGATCCCACCCAAAAACCCAAGCATTCTCCACAAGCTTGAGGGTTCACCGCCGACCCCATGATGCTCACTTGGTATACGTGACGTTTAGAATCGTTTAGAAGCCCTCAGGCTTCAGCTGCGCCGTGAAGCCGTGAAAGGGCTGTGCAATGCTGTGCACGAAAGGACGAAGCATGAACTCAGGAACTCAGGGCATATAGGAAGAAGCGCCAATCTGACCTGAGGTGCTGCTCCCGCCTTCACATTGGTTGTCTCAACCAAGCCTTCGACTGCGATGCCGGCTTGGCGGACTGGCATCGGGGCTGGTCCAAGGCGCTTGGAGTAGCTGTTTCAGGTGGTCTTTTGACATCTTGACCTTTTGCTGACACCTTCTTGCATCCCTTGCATCCCTTGCATCGTCCTTTCTCAAGACTTTTATTGTCATATCTTGACAGTGTTGGGGCATGTCACGCCTCTCGTTCGGCCGTTGTGAAACAAAAGCGTGGAAACACTGGCAGCTCCTCGCGCTTGGCAACACCCGTCCAACCTTTCCGGAGGCCAAAAAGACCTGGTGCTGCATCCACTCCGAGCACGGCTGTGAGTGAGAGCGCTTCCCAGGTTTCCCACAGGCTGTCTTAGAGAACGCAGGTCGTTGCCAAAGGCAAGTTTAGAAGTCGACGTGCCCGAGGCCCAACGGCCTCAGTTTCTCCGCTTCGGCGCTGGTTCGGGACATTTTCGGAGTCGGGGGGATGCCCTTAGGGCACCCCTTGCATTTCGGAGATTCTCGGAGTCGCAGAGTGCCAAAGACCTCTCACACAATCCCAAATCTCAGCAGTGCCGGTGCTGGAGGAGAGCCACTTCTCCACCAGGGTTTCAGGGTTCATTGGGTTCGTTGCTGTTCTCAAGCATCTAGCTCGGCGAGGTCTGGTGGCCGCCCCACTTCTCCCCTACCGTAAACAGCCCCAAACCGTATGTAATCTACAGCTTTTGGAGCTGTGGAACAATTGGAAACGCCGTAGTTGGCAGCTTATGGAGCCCTAGAAAAATGCTGTATTTTATCAGCAGTTAAAGCCTTCCAACGGCCCGAAATGCTGTATCTTTTAGAAACCGCGAACTTGCCAGGGGGATGGGGTGCCTCCCTCCCCCCCCCGCCCTCCCCGCCGCACCCGGGCTCGTTTAAGCCGTGCAAAAGCTTGTTATAAAGAATGTGGTGCCATCCATGGACTTTCTCATCATTCAAGAAAAATACGGATCTCTTCGTTACACAAGCATCGTGTTTGCAAATGGGCGTGCCTTTCAAACCCATGATGTGAGCATCGTTTGCACGAAAAAGGGGCAGAACGAGTCGAGCATTGTGTTTACAGTGCGCGAATGGGGGTGGGGGGGGAGTGGGTGTCGGGAGGGTTATCGCCGTGCGATGCCGTGCGAACTTTAGTCATCGAGTTAGGTTTAGGGTGTAGTAAGAGGAAGTGCCTGAAAGAACATGCGAGCATGCAAAGAAATATGTTTTCAAATAGGGGTGCCCCCACCCCACCCCGCCCCCTCCCCCCCTACCCCACCGCCCTGCCCCACCAACCCCACCCCCTAACCGATAAACAGCAAAATCCACCGTTTCAACATGCGGCTTCGAATCGGCTGGACTTCAATTGCATGACTACGTGTTTTTTGAGTCCTTGCGGCATTCTCACTTTTTTGTTTTACATATGTCTTAGGAGGGCAAAGCCGTGCCACCCTTAACTTTTTGGTGCCTGCTTCCAAGATCTCCAGCAACTGTGGAGAATTCACCTGGCTCTGACACGGGGCCCACTTCGTTAGAGCCGAGAGCCTTTGACTCATTGACGTTCCTTGGTTACTCTGTGTTCGAAGCTTTGAGAAGCGAGCTCAGTGAGTCGAAGGCTCTGGCGGCACCTCTCGAGTGCAATAGACCCGCTTGCGAGAGGCTAAAACAAGGGGGCGAATCCATTTCTCGAAATTTTTCTGTAGGTCACTTGACTTCTTCACATCGAAACTCCGCTGGTCAGCTTGGACTGTGGCTCTAGAATCACGACGGCCTGCATCTCTTGCCCCAGGCAGCCTCAATAAGTGGAACAAAATGAAGACGTGACACGGACCAAGCTCCAATCGCGCAGGCGAGAAGAGTGTTCGCCTTCCTCAGATGAGCTGACAGGCTCTTGCAAGGACGGTGGATTAGGGATTTGCTGTTTCAAGCGCAATTCTGCACGAAGGACTGGCACGCACTGTGTGCTAGGTGTCTTAGAACCCCGAAATATGAACTGGAGACTAAGTTGACATTGAAGTTTGAAATAAGCGACGGCTTGAAAAAAGTTGCAAAATAAACCTGAAAGCCTGACTCACTCACTCCATGCTCTTCTCTCTCTCTCTCTCTTTCTCAACGCTTCTCACTTCTTTCCCTCTGTCTCTGTCTCTCTCTTCTCTCGTCTGTCCTTTTCTTTCGCTCTCTCTCTCTCTCTCTTCTCTCTCGTCTCTCTCTTCTTTCTTTCGCTCTCTCTCTCTCTCTTCTCTTCTCTCTCGTCTCGCGCTTCTTTCTCGCTCTCTTTCACTCTTCCCCGGCCATTTATGTAATGCAAGTATTTAAGACAGACAGAGACAGATGTGTACATACATATATAAACGTTAAACAAAAAGAATATATATATATATATATATATCTTTAGAGACAAATAATGACAAATATAAGTGACCACCACGTCGTATGTTTTCAATGCATGCAAACCTTGTGTATTTTGCTTTGCGGGAGCTCAGTAACTTGCGACGAGGACAATCCCAAGGCGTTGTTACAAGTGGGTTCAACTCAGTTATGTGTTCAGTACTATGAAGCCGAAGCTGATGTCCGTTTCACTGCTCAATTCTTGCTCAAGCTCGGCAAAGCTGAGTTGAGCGAAGCATCTGATTGGAAGCCAAAAAGGTAAGCCTGCGTGCCTTCAATGTTTTTTTTTCAATCTTCCTTGCCTTGCATCACGCAGCGGCAATGTGTCGTTTTTGGTGTTTTGAAGTTGTGCGGTCATGCTGCACCCTATGCTGCACCTTCTGGACAAGGCAACCTCTGGCTGCACTGCGCATTGAAGTAAGACTGCTGAGACAGCCCGCGCTTCGGTGTGACAGATGTGCGAAGGTCTTCGACGCTCTGTCTCGTTTGGCTCTCCGGCAAGATGCTGCTTGTCCAAGAAGCATCCGACGCCTTAACACAAAAAACAACCCTTCCATAGTGCCAAGTGAAGTGCCTGACGCTACGCCATTTCGAGACAGCAAGGTCTACAAGTTTGTTTTCGACATGTTGTGGCTGCGATTCAGGCAGCTCGCACAGTTCTGGGACACCACAGAGAAACGCTTCTAATCCGTGAGCGCACAGCCCTGCGGCGGGGCTTCCGGCAGCTTTGCCAAGGCCATGCCCCAGCTAGGTGCTGGTGCGTTACCTACTGCCCGATGGGTCTACTTCAACAAGCTGCGACATGATCTGCACACGCCTGCCAGGTCTTCGCCAAACATCGCCATGCTGCGGCGAAATGCTGCCAGACACTCACAGAGACCACACTGGTGACCACACTCTCATGTCTAGTCGAATCTCAGTCACACATTCTTGGCTACCGGCCTGCGCAGACAAGTCACTCTTGGCAGTCTTAGGGCGGCCTACATCTGAGAGAACCCTATTGTCAGGCACAACCCAGTTGCCAAACCACGATGGCGAAATTGAAGTAAGGTTGAAGCTTGTCCCAGTCCTATGTCCTGTGTGCCAGGGGGAAGTCTTGTGCATGCCGATCGATGTGGCTCGAAGCACAGACTCCGGTAAGTATTCACACGGGCGAAGAAGTTCACTCCCAGAGTGCCCTCGATCGGAATTGTTAGCAGGGTTTAGGGTTTAGGGTTTAGGGTTCACTGGTACTCTGCTCAGGGTTGACTCAGTCCTTCAATGCCTGGGCAATCGCAGCAATGTGCAGACATGGCCAAACAGGCTGGGCAGGCTCCCTGAGTCGGCCGGCATGGCAAATCTCCATGGCTTGTGGGGGTTTCCGAACATAGGGGTGCCTTCTACTCCAAGGGAATCCTTCTATTTGGGGGTCTGTTTTCGGAGTCCCCTATTTTCGTAAACTGTGACAGAAGTCTGTCTGCAGTTGATCGCGCGCAGCGTATTCGGATTGTAGCGCATGCAGCTTTCTCACCGCGCTTCAAAGTAGTGGTTACTCGTGCCTGAAACAGCAACATGTGGGTTATTTCTTTTGGGGTCCTCTCTGCAGCAAAAGAGAGGAAGGCTGGAACTTGGGGCTTGCGCGTTTGGATGAGTGGTGCCTCCCTCCCCAATCTTTGCGTCCAAGCTGTTTTGGGGGGGGGCCTTCGCTCGCCGGCACTAGTTGAACGCGTGGTTTGGCAAATGTTTGCCTTGTGCCAGTCTTGCTTTGCATGGCAACTCTATGCACTTCTTCGACGAGCTTGCTCACATCAAAAGCATCTTTCGACCACTCAAACTTGCTGCAAAAGCCGTTGGCAGGTGCTCGCATCACCGCAATCACCGCAACACTCGCAGCCCGACATTTCTGTCGTAGAGATGTAGGTAGGACGGAGCGACCTTTTGGTAGGCATGTGAGGGCTCCAAACCGATTCTCTAGTTGCTGCACCATGCACGGACCCTCGTACAAGAAGCCGCCACAAGTAGCACAACTCAATAAGCGTTGCCTTGCGAGTACCTAGACTGACCATGTTGGAGCTTAACTTTCACTGCAAGAGATGTCTCTCTCTGCCTAGGCCCCCCATTGTGCAAGAATTGGCATCTTAGATCTATCATCGACTATGCACGATTCCCGCCTGGCACATGCATCTCTAGCATCTGGCCACCCTGGAATCGGAGAGACGAAGTACCTGCTTCGTACCAAGGAAGGCAAGTGCCTCCACGATGGACAGTGCTGGGATCTTAGCTCTCCTTCGTGTGCTTCCGCTTGCAAATGTGGCTGCACCTCACCAGAAGTGCATCCAGGCCGGCCTGTGCTACAACGCTGTAAGTGAACAAGCACACAGACTTCCAACACGCCCTCGGGAGAATGACAAACGAACCGAAGTGGCGGTTGAGATACGCTGAGATGGGATCCGAGAAACTCCTGAGGCTGAGTTCGACAGGACAAGCAGTATTGGCATCGGAGGCGCCGGAGATGTACTTTTCACGTAACTCGCGCAAAAAAAAGGCCCCTCCACTCAGTTCACAGAATGCGAAGCCGCTAAGTCCGCCCTGTAGCTCGAGGGTCTGTGAGGTTCATGCTCGGGGGCATTCCGAGTATGAAACAGTGGTACACGAGAAGGAACAAGCAGCCACCCCACGCAGTCGCATCAGCAGCTAGTGTGTCAAATTGAGAGCAGCCGCTGTGCTAAGGGCTGAATCCTCCACAAAGCCTTGTGACTCTTGACTCATTGACACGGCCAAACTCCGCTGAAAAAGCGTTGCCTGAACAGGTCCTTCAGACAGCGACCGACTAAGTTCAAGGCTTCTGCATGTGCAGGGTGGTGATGGCTGTCCTTACCCAGAACCTCAGAAGTCTTCGGTGAGTTGCAGCAACCGCCATTCTGCACTGGAGTGGGATGCATGTTATAAAGGGAGGTTTGTAAGGTGAGGTGACACTGAGCACCAACTGAGAGTGGTAGTGGCTTTGCTTTGAGGACCCCCCATGCCAAGATGTGAACCTTTGAATTGCAGCCGAGACTTGTGCAGATGTGTGCTGAAAGCACGCAGGACCCGCATTCCACGAAGTCGTGTCCCACAGTTCCTCACAGATGCCCAGCCACAGGCCATTAGGGATTTCGAGCAGCTACCGGGTTAATTTTGACGAGGCAAGGTTGCCCCTTCAGGACAGCTCTTGTGAGGGTAGAGGGGGTCGCCGGGTAGCCAAAGATGGAGGGAGGAAAGGGCAGGGATATGGGGGAGGGAAAGGAGGAGGTGTAGGGAGCGGCGTGCCAAAGAGAGTGGGGGGATGCAGGGTCCGTCCCCGAACCCTGGTCCCGACGCACCGCCCGCATTGCAACAACATCGCAAATCATGCTAACTTTAGACATCATGGAATGTCATCAAGAGATTTTCACAGCACTCAGATGCAGAGCCCAAGATTTACAAAGCAGTTCTTTGACGCTCCCGAAGCAGAAGCCGTACAGTAAGCTGACGAGATTCAGCCGCGACCTTCTAGAGGTTTTGCTAACTTTTTTGGGGGAACTTGGAAAGGGCCTGGTAAGGGGGAACGGGTGGTGAAATCGGCACAAAGGGCCACCCAGGTCGAGACAAAGAGCGCCGGTGGTCTTAGAGTGGTCTCTCTCTTTTTCTGTTTGCCTGCCTGGCTGCCTGCCTGGCTGTCTCTCTGTCTGTCTCTCTCGCTCTCTCGCTCTCTAGCTCTCTCTCTCTCTCGCTCTCTCTCGCTCTCTCTCGCGCTCTCTCTCGCTCTCTCTCGCTCTCTCTGTCTCTCTCTCTCTCTCTCTCCCTCTCGCTCTCTGTCTCTGTCTCTCTCTCTCTTTCTCTCCCGCTCGCTCTCTCTCGCTCTCGCTCGCCGGAGTACCATGCACATATCAAGCTGCAGGTCAAGTTCGCCACCAACATCACCTTTGTTAGCTCTCAGCGTGTACCCTTATGATGGTGCAACCGGGCAGCAACTCATGATGCCCAAATGTGCATGTTGACCTTGCTAGCGATTTGTGAGGCCTGTTTCTGAACCAGCACGTGTTTTTGTCTCTCTTCTCATTCATTCAGGTTTTTTATGCCACACGACAGCGGAGATCCAATGGTAAGAAAAGACCTTTCAATTTCAAATTCGATTTAAATTTCAAGGAAGCGCCCTTCCATATGCAAGGACGCGATGTTACCACGTCTCTGCAGTTGGTCCCTCCGTTTGCCCCTGCCCCATCAGGTTCAAGGTCGCTCAACGGGTTTGATGGCAAAGAAATGCACCAGACCGATCTAAAGAAATACGCGACGCCTTTTGAGCGACGACCAGTACTGGAGGCAAGGGACGCACGGTGCACGCTGCAGAGCGTTGCGACTTTCAGCGTGAAATCTGGGGCCTCAATGGGGTCCGCTGGCACAAACCTAGACGTGTCTAGCATGATAGAGAAGCGTTGGTGGACTGGTATATACAAACGACGGGGAGCATCACTGCCACCCACTATTGGGGCCATCTG